AAGAATTCAAATATTTATAATTTTGTTTGCTACTTGGTTTTTAAAAAGATTCTAAAAATGATGACTTTTATGGCATATTGGTTTTCCAAAATATTTCATTTATTCTTCTGCATAATATTATGAGCCATTCAGATATAGATTCTTTGTGAGATTATGAGAAATATTTTATCTAAACAGAGTAGCGAGAAAAGAAAGAGAGCACAATATTAAGTTGTGAGCCACAGACAAAAAAAGTATGCCAGCATCTTAGAGATCTATTAGTTAGTCAAATAATCGTCAGTATAAAGCTTTTCAATATTTAAGCAACCATATTTATAGCCATGAAAAGGTTATAATAGCTATAAATAACGGAGGAAATATTTCATATTGTTTAAATGGCTATTAGTTTATAAATAGCAATGGTTTTTATAATCATCCACGATGTTTTTAACCGCTGTAGTATGTTAAAATGACTGCGGAGTCTTTTAATCGTTATCCAAACTCCAAATACATACACCAACTTAAAATAAACGTGGTATGTCTTAATAATCAAAGCAAAACTTGAAGTAGTTGTAGAATGATTAGGTACCTACAGGAAACCATCAAGTGGATATAGAAAATCGTTAAGGAGCTATAGGAATTCATTAAGTAGCTGTTAGGTTTTTCTTCAAAAGTATCTCTTTTGAGAAGCTACGCTATAGGCTTAGACCTTCAGCAATAGTTCTGAGACTCCACGCAGTTTCACGAAGTTCTGTTTGATTTCCTAGGCCATTGGACAATTCTGAGTTTAGAAAACCTATGAATTCTCAGAAATTTCTAAATCAACAATTCTTTATTTTCAACTTAATATACATACGTAGTGATATCATATAATGATGCTTTGATACTAAAAGCATGCGGAAAAGAGAGAACACTCTATGGCTCAAGAAAGATAGAAGATATTAAAGTCATTATCTGCAAAAAATCCTCAGTCCGTATATATATACGGGTTCCGTAATCAAAGGGTTAACAGATCTCCGTAGGAGATTTCCAGCTCACTACTCGGTTTTTGGCTGTTTTGGATATTTTTGAAAATACTATTTTGCTACTTTATCAGTATGGAATAGACATTTTCATATGACATAGTACTGACCGTGGGGCTAGCTTACGTCATCTATTGCGTGCTTTCAAAAATTCCCCATAGATATTATCCATATCCCATTATTTCTGGATTTTAATGAAAAATCAATTTCTAAACTTGTTTATTATTTTTCTCAGAAACATGATTTTTGATCAGAAAACTGTAAATAACTTCCGCACGCTTCAAGATAATACCAATATTTTTTTTTTGTTTTCAAGATCTTAGCAAGAGTAAAATTTTGTCCCACCATACTTTTTATTTTTAACTTCTGCAATAAGAAAAGTGAGATTTAATGTCATGTATTGGCATTTTTTTTTGGCTTATTTCGACCCCATGTGTACTGAAACGATCATAAAAAATGAATGGAAACCAATTTCAAAATTTTATCCAATAAAAAATTGCGCATTGGAGTTAGCTTTAATTTGAAACCATCCAAAGCCCTCTATCTCTTGTAATAAGCAAGTTATAAGGATTCTCTTGCAGGCTAAAAATGGACTATAAATAGACCAGAAGTCCTGTCTAGTTTGACATATTTGGCTGAAATTTTTACTAGAAGTGTTTCTCACTACGATCATTCATTTCTGAAAATTTCAGCCTAAACGGATCATCCTACGTGGCATATCGATTTTGAGAGAGGCCCCCTTAATTTACTAAAATGAGTAAATAGATTATTCTGCTCCGATTTAAGCAAGTCATTAGTTTACAACGACCTTTCCTATTAGAACAACTTTACAAACAAAAGGAAAAAGACCAAAGAAGTTTAGGAAAACTCAAGCAACACATAGAACATTTCTTTAGATTAGTCATAGTGCAAAAAAAAAGAGTGAATGATTCGAGGCAGTTCTAATGCGCGGGTTTCAATTCTTCAAAAATAATTTCAAATAAGAGAAACAATTCGGTGATTTCGTCAGTTATTCCCGTTTTCGACAATACTATTATTTTCTTTCACTGTAATATATCTTATCAAAAATATACTCCAACTCATTACTTGTAGGAAAAAAACAAGTAACTTTCCTTTCTTTTACTTTGTTCTTTGTTTGGATATTTTTTTTCCACTCATATTATTGTAAGTATGCATAGATGTAATGAAACAGAGCTCAATTGTAAAAGAAAATTGAATTGATAATTTTGATATAAATTAATGTGCTAAGTGGAAACAAAACAGATATCATTTCATTCGATACAAGACAAATCTTTTATAATACTCAATAAAATGTAATGCATTTCCATAGCAAAAATATGTTTTTTGAAAAATTTATAATTTTCTTCAAATAAGCCTTCATATGGCATTAAATCGATATAGACATATTTTGTTTTCATCTATTTCTTAGTAATAAGTGGCTCGAATTTACAAATAGAATACCATTACTTTGAGCAAAACTAAGAGCCAAAGCTGTATTTTAATATGCGAGCAACATATAACTATACTATTGCGTCTGTTTCTTATAGTTTCTCAAATACAAAAATCAAAATTGTCCATTTAACAGTGAAAATCATGAACACAACCATAAATATGATATGTAACAAAGTATTATGGCATGTTTACCATCACGCTCATATAATGTCTTCATATAGTCGACCAATTCTAGAGAAAACAGTCGATTTTTCTTTCTCGTTTTATTTGTTTTATTTTGAAGCCACTCGTACATGTTATTACACTTATCCTATATGAGATTTTCAAGTTACTCTTTGATCGTAGATCACGATGAAAGTTCATAACCCTTGTGTAACCTGAAGCGTTATTTTTTCAATATTTTATTAAAATACAGATTCTCTGACATTTTAAATTTTGTTTGCATATGAAGACGAAAATATTAGCATTATAAAAAACATTTATTATTTGTTAGAGTTTGGTTATCGAAATATGTGGTTTTTCTTTTATCTATAGAATAGATGACAGGATGTTATGTCAAAATAAAACGTATTTTAATTTATAGTTATACAAAATGCAGCTTTGCGGAAAAGAATTCAGAAAAATTTAAAATAATTTTTCATGAAATGATCCAACACAATTAATGTTTTAAAAATAATATACAATGAAGGATATGTAGATTCAGATTATAATTTTATTACATACTTATCATTTTTTGTTTCTGTGTAAAATCGATGTCTCATTCCTTATCACTATTTTCAAGCTAACTCTTATACAACTGTTTCTTCCCACAGTCTAACCGACTATCAACAAAAATGATGATATTGACTTTTATTATTTTTTTATCTATTATTCATTCAGATGTATACTGCAGCGACTGTTTATCCTATATGATTAAACTTTTTTCAACCACACTCTAGATGATGAAGACAGGTCTAGCTGAATTGGAATCTGACTTATTTTACCATATTAGTGCCTCGAGTTCTATGAAGTTCCCGATCAATTAATAGTACAAATTTTGTAACGAATTTATTTTCAAGCATAAATATTCAATAGACTTTGTTGTTAATTAAAATGGCGTGATCTCTGAAATCATAAAAATCATAGTAATTACCGTCTACTTTTTCGATGAGACTGGGAATGAAACGATATTAACTATGTTATTAGCAGTTTTTCGATATTAATATCTAAATAGTATATGCACACTTATGAACAAAGATAGTACAAAACACTTAATAATCTAAAAGAACTATGAGTTTTGAATACTAATGAAAATCCGTAACACATTATATCTAGCAAACAAATGTAAACATTAAATTCAAGTACGCTCAGAATCGATCTGTCCGATAGAGCGTGTTAAGTTGTCTCTGAGAATGTCATGTTTGCCCCCGAAAATTAGAAAGATAAGTGAGTTTTTTTTTATGAAATTTCATTAAAAGTAGAAATGATTTTCGAATGTATTATTTTGGTACGTAGATATATAACATTTGTACGAATGTCACATAGTGATAGAGCATTTTTTATTCTATCGATTAATATCTAATTGAAATTTTTTTTTACACAAATTTTCGAGTTGACCATTCTAAGACGGATTTCGCATGTCGAGAGCATTCACTGCTGCTAAGAACTATGATCGTATCCATTTTAGATACTATAGATTGTACTCTTTCCTTTATGACAGACACAGCTTTCGATACTATTAAGATTGAACTCTCAGGATATGTAGGTGACCGTTAACTGACTATGCTCTGATTCACATCGGGAACGAATTGATGAATCTTTGAATCTTTTCTTAGATTGACGGTACGTATTCAAGTTCGAAGACATTGTTGTCGACGCTGATTGTGAAGCAGTTTCTTGTGGATCTTGACTTGGCTTAGGAGCATGTTGACTAATTCTGATGTCACAACAAAATTTTTTTTATCTTTGATGATTCATATGAATGTTGAACAGGCCGTTTTCTGTTGTACTAATAAGTGGCTTGATTATTAAAACTACCTTACTATGTTTTCGATTACAACAGAATTGCGACGTGACTATGCCGTAACTGTGTCACTTTTCAATCGTTACTGCAAAAACTGCGACGCAGTATCAACCAGTTTCGATGAAAAAAATCGTATTGCGCATAAGTACGATTCTTTTTCGTAACTACGCGTAATTGCGTCGTAATTGCTAAAAAAAAGGGACGACATAGGTCGGATTATATTATTTGGTTGGAATTTTCCGAACTACTAATTCCAATAGTAATCTTTTTAATTATTATTAGTAAATCTTGTGTGAGTAATCTCTCACATGTATGAAACACGTGCCTAATAATGTAGACATACGAAGGGTAGCATGAGAGGAAACAAAGGTGATCGACTTCTATCTATTATGTAGAATGACGAATGGTTGAATGCGTAATAGTTTTGTCCGTATTTATGATTTATTTCTCTGCTTTTTGCATTTATATTTACTAAGAAAACATTTTAAGTCATAATGAAGCCAATAAACGACTGTTAATATGAAAGAGCTCCAACAAATGAAAGTATGTCAAATGGATTATCAATGAGTCCTGATGCCATCAAAGTATATTACTGTAACGAAGCAGTGAATAATTCGAAAATATTAACATAAAAATATGAGATTATTTAGAATCGAAGAAAAAATCTTATAACTCTGGAGCGGAACAAGCTGCAAGTATCGACCTTGCTTAAATCGGAAGATGAGATTTTTTTTCTATCGAATAATCTAATTGGGTGAGAATATCGTTCACGAAAATCTTCATTAAGAACTTAGTCATAAGGTCGATAACTACCTAATAAAAATTTGGTGCAGTGTGATAGCTTCGGGTCTTCTCTTTTGAATGGTGAAAGCTGTAGATCTCGATAATGTTTCTATCAAAATTTATTCAAAAAACAGTGAAGAACATTACAGTTTGAAATGAATAGTAGTTATGATGGCACAAAATGATAATTGTCTTTTTTGAAAATAGGAAAAAATTGAATATTTGTCGTAGAGAAAAGTTTCTCTTTCTAAATTTTCAAAACTGTTTTACATTAAATAGGATTTAAATGTATGTTCAAAACGTGCTTGTCTTATTCGTGATATTCCTGTTGATTGTCTTGTCACAAATCAAGAAAGTATTAGTATTGTATGGTTTGATTCAATATTAACAAAAACAGATATTTCTGATTTATCATTTATTCATCTTCGTACTCTTAATGATTATATTTTATTTTATAGTCAGAAATCTTTGTATTTCGAATATTTGATGTCGAAACAAAAGAAAAATGATCATGTTATTGTTATATTAGATGATATCGAAATTCTCGAGCAGACACAAAATTGTAAACAAGTTCATGCCATTATGTTGGTTATGACGGATAATGATAAAAATAAAAATATTATAATCAAACAAGATTATAAAAAAAGTTGTTGGTATATTTACTGATAGAAATTCAATACTTGTTAAACTACAACAAGTAATCATTGATGTCGAACATCAAGTTGCCCAAAATGTTGGAAATGTATTTAGTTTTCGGCATTTTACTAACCGACATGGGAGAATATGAGCAAGCAGCCAATTATTTTCAACATCTTTTAGCACATATGTCTGACGATCATGAAGATCGACCCAATGTGTATTATAGTGCGGCACGTATTTATCGATTTACTAATCAATATGAGAAAGCATTGGAATTTTTCCGTCGTGCCGAACTTTTACAACGTGCAAAACTACCTGAATCTAATTTTGATTTAGCTCGAACTTTGGCTGGTGTTGCTAGTGTTTACTATGAGTTACAAGACTATCAACAAGAGTTATTCTATTATCAACAATCGATGGATATTTACCAAAAAATCTTACCTGAGAATCATATCGAAATTGCTCGTACATTTAACCGTTTAGGATTTGCCTATGCAAATCAAAAACAATATACTTTAGCATTGAAATATCTATCAAAGTCATTAATTGTTTACAATCATACAGTACCCGAAGTTCATCCAGACAAAGCCTTTCTATTATATAATACAGGCTTAGTACATCATTTATTAGGAAACATTGATGAATCATTTGATTTTCATGAAAAGGCATTGAAAATGCGTGAGACAACATTACCACCTCATCATCCTTATATAGGTCAATCATGCTATCAATTAAGTATATTATATGAAGAGCAATGTCAATATGACTTTGCGTTGGAATATGCTTATCGAGCACTGAATATATACGAAAAGAAACCATCGAATAATCATAAACTTATATACGATGTTCAAAATATAATCAAACGTCTTCATAATGAATCGAACATTCAAATATAATTATTTGTTTTTTTACATAAGAAAAATTGTATTCAACTGTTTTTTGAAATGTATAATGTTAATAAGATTATCTTTTTTCGATGTTGATTATCAACTATTTTATTTAATAAATCTGATATTTATGAATAAACAAGAAAATAATAATATCTACACAATTTAATTGTTCTTATTAGTTGTCTTACTAATTCGTACATGTATTCAGAACAATTAAGTTTTGAAACTGGATCGCAGTGATAATACTAACAATGACGGCAAGAATATAGAGTTAACAAATGTAAATAAATCGTAATCTAACGAAGGAAATTCTAATATTTTGCTGCATCAAAGCAAAGTGTTATTTTTGTTATATATTTATTTCAAACGATTAAAAATTAAAGCGTTATAATGGATATGACTAGCTAATAGAACTAGCAAATATAAATTTGTTACATACATATAGCAGATAAAATTACATCGATAAAGAAACTGTATGTCATGATAATATGTTTTTTCTTCAATGTTTAACATCAGGTAGAATATACAAATCCTAGGCATTAGACAACACATTACTCAAAAGAACAAATGTTTTTGTTTGTGTTACATTTAGTAATGGATTTATAGAGTTTAGCAATTTGTTGCTGTACAAAACAGGAACATTTTATCCCAACGAAAGAGTAGAAAGACTATGTTCAACGATATGAAATCATAAGAAAATTGTGAGACTTTCAATGAACGCAATGTTGATGATTGAATTATCTGAGTAAATTATTTATTAACTTAAATACTTTTAAATTAAATAACGATAAACACAAGATAAAATTTTTGTTAAATAAATTGATTTTGCGAAGGAGATCCTCCAACTGATTAATTGCTTTTGAACGGAAAGCACGTGCATCACGTAGATTCTAATGGACTATGAATATCCTGAAAAGAATTCCGATTCATAGTTTACTACTACCGATGATTCTATTTTTTACGATAGTTTTCATTACAATACTTAATTTCAACTTGAATACATACATCGATGATTTCGATTTTCTTATTTTAGAACAGAAATAGATAGATTGACTTAATACTTTCACCATAAAGTATTCGCATTTTAAGGTCTGTTTCTATGAAGAATTTCAAGTCAAAATTCGAGAAATAATTTTCCTGATCTTTCTTATTGAGTATAAAGAATTTTCTCAATAGTTATAATATTCATAGTCAATATTCTATTATGTCTGTTGTTTTTCCACCATTTACTTACATGTTAATTTTAAGAATAGAACGAAAGTTTTCTCATCGCTTCTATTATGTAGAAGTAAAGAAGGATGATAACACTATGAAAAATAAAAATTTTAAATTACCTTTGAAAATTTTCTAAACAATAATAAATATAGGATTGTTTCTGTTCAAAAAAGTAAATGATCTCGTAAAAAAAATGGATTGAATCAGAATAGCATGAAGGATATGTTTTTGGACGTTGTAACAACACATTCTTAAATGCATAATTATGCTTCTGGAAATGAACTCATCCTAACTAAGATGCATTATTTATATAAATATTATTGTTAGTAGATATTTTGGAATAAACATACTGCGTAAATGGTAATATTCACATTATGTTGAATCTAATCAAACAATTATTCGATGATCAATAAATAGATATATAAAGCTTAAATGTAATTATTGAGCTTTTGTTAATTATATGCACATTGAACATGAATCTATGTATGAATATTGCTGTGGTAAGTATCAATTTTTATAGGCCTAGATGAATTTTAGAACACTCTGTAGTTTACAATATTGTCTCAAATATAATTAAGAATCGTAATAGTTTATTATGTTATGTCATTGTAAAAGTATATTCTTACAATTGACAATCTAAATATTTAGTAAGTTTTTTACACTGCTTTATATCATAGTTACTATATTAATTAACGAACATTGAAATCTACTATTGATTGATTAATTTTCTTTTTGTGATTGTTTCTTGAATATTTCATAAAGCGAGATTTTTTTTTCAATATAAATATTTTAAAAGCGAGATTTTTTTTCTTTGTGATAGAAGAATATAATCCGAGAAATGTATTAGTTTTTTTTCTCTTTTTCATCCCTTCTGCCCTAAAGAAATATATCTATTTTTATTTCCACAATTACTTCTACACGGCATATGGTATCATCAGTCATTATCTTCGCTATGCATTTATCCGAACTTTTCTTAATGGATTCCGAGATATTTGTTATTCTCATAGAATACCATATGTCTATTTCTGCATCCTATTAATAGTTCTATAGATAGAGAAAAGAAAAGAGAAATGTCTATATAGACAACCGCAGCTATATATGATGCATACATTCGATATTTAGCTGTTTCTATATAAGTATTATATTAGTACGATGCTCAAGTTTGCAATAACCTTGTGTATTTTGGCTGGAATTTTTTTAATTCCTATTACAAATGGTTTCTTTCTTACGAAAAAAGAAAAATGTGAAGTAACAGCATTTAAAGGAAAAGATTTTAGTGGTGAAAAAATTATGGCACATAAATTATTCCATCCACATTTAAAATCAATTGGTGCTGTAGCTAAAGCTTGCAAAGTACAAGTTCATGTTACTAGTTCATTCAAACAATTAAAAACTCCAAATGATTTTGTATTAACATCTGAAATGCCATTAGCTGTTGGACATGGCATTCGTTTTGATTTAAAAGATCCAAAAGGAGGAACTTTATGTAATCCATTATGCATGACATCACAATCATGGAAAACACTTAGTGAAGCTAATTGTTTTATTACTGGTGTTCAAAAGAAAGGAATTAAATTTACACAACCAAATCTTTTAGATGATGGTCAAGTAGGCAAATTAAGTTCACCAGATGCTGAAAAACTTAAAGCACAAATACAAAAATTATGTGCACCAAAAGCACCTAAGGGTTAAATACTGTCGAACAATCGAAAAATGACTTCATTTTTTTATTTGATAAACTTTTATATATATATACATTTATTGTCAAAATGAAAATGTTTAAACAAACAATTAAATAAGATTTTATTAAGCTAAAATTCATTGTTAACCAAGCATCATTATCACATATGCCCTTTTTTTATATTACATATTTACCTTTTTTTATATTAGTATTTCAATAAAATTTATTATTATGATTGATTAATAATGAAATAAATGAGGATAAGAGCATTAAAGTCATTGTATGAATTCACATGTAGATAAACATATAAAGGGTGTCTCATAATAACAAAAAATAAATTGTCCATGATAGTTTTCATACTTATCCTTGATATAGAACTTACACAGGGTCTCTGTAAGTGATTCTTAGTAGAGTTAGTCATAGAGCACTTATTTTTAGTATGTCAGGGACAATTGATATAGTCCATGATCGTTATACGTACATCAAACCTAACTATTTATGATAGCTAGCTCATTTTATCGATTCATTTCATATGGTTTTATAGTAGTTTTCAAGAGATTCATAATGGTATAAAAACTGATCGGTATGACTTCTCATGAAGCGCAATACATTATCTCTATATGCAAAGAAATTCTAAAGAAACTATTATTGAGATATAACTTCATGGCTTTTTTTGTCTGATATTTAGTAGATTTCGATTAAGAAAATTTGATTTGAATAAAAACTAATATTATATTCTGAATTAGCATCTCAATTTGAATGAACTTATGTATATTGAAAATATTTTTGCAAATTTATTTTATTGTGGTCGAAATATTCAGTTCTAGTCTCTCTCAGGATTTGATCAAAAAATGAATTTCATAAGAACTCTCCTTTTATTGTTTATTCATCTGTTATTTGAAGTTCTACTGTTGTTTTATAACCATAGAACTGGCTTCTCGTCATCAAAATAGCTTTTCAATGAAATTCATTATTAATAATTAACTATGGTATACTATACCATTAAGGAATTTCAAACTCATTGACCTTGGAAGAGAATTATAACAAATTTTATGATAATAAAATCTTCGTCAAGCTTAGTATAAGAAGTGATTCTTTTTCATCAAAATCATTTCTTTTTTTTTTATTGAAAATGGAATCAGAGTAAAAGAAGACTGTTTCCATTAATGTCAAATGATGACCATTTTCTTGCATTTATACAAACAGAACTTTTGTTTTTGTTATTAAAGGATTGATCATCGCTATAGATACTTCATGGGTTTACGGAGCATACAGTCGTATGCCTAACAGATATATTGATTGTTATTGTTATTCTCATTCAATTAAACATGATATTTAAAATTATTTGAATTGATTAAATAATTTTCTTAATTGTTTAATCTTTTCTATTTTATTTTTAAAGAAAATATACAAAAAAAATATCACTATTTAAACATTTTCATATTTCGATAAACATTGACGAAGACGAGTTAACATTTATTTTTTGATTGTATCGGGTACAAGAGCTAAATTAAAGAATTCATTAAAAAAACAATTTGAAAGAATATATCAAACGTTCTCTCAAAAGTTGTTTCATTCTATTGAATTTTTATTAAAACAAAAAAATGCTCACGATTAATTGTAGAAAATCTTTTCGTACTGTTCTTTTTCACTACTTTCAATTAATTTTGCATATAGTGTTGCTTGAATTTGGACATTTTGATCGACTATATTTATCAAATAAGTTAATAAAATTGTTTTTAACAAGAGAAGCTTTTTGTTCATAAAGTTCAGCTTGTATTAGTGAAAAAATGAAATCGTTCACTGATTGGTTAATTGATAGACCATTGATGTGTTGTTTTACCACCATTGTAAGTTTCAATAAGTCTCTGCTTGTTTTTCTTTATAGTATATAGACGAATATTCTTCCTATCTCAATGGATAATTTTGATTTTATTTAACTTTGCCAACATGAATGACATTCTCGCATGTTCTTTTTCTTGTCATCATTTTATTTATTCGATGAAATTAAATGAAATTGGTTTATTTTAGAAAATAAAAGATAAGAAATGAAATTTTTATTTTGAACTTATTCTAGATTTTTATCTTGATCCGGTGTTGAGAAGAAAACAAATAGATTTTATCTCATAGAAATGGCCACTGCAAGGCCCAATTATTATTGTCATAAGTGTCAAGCACATATTGGACATGTCACGGTAAGACTTTTTATTCTAAAACGATTATTAATTATTGTTAAAATTAACAAAAATTTAAATTGAACCTATTAAGCTTAATCTTGTTCGCGATGTTCAATCAGACGCTTTCATAATCGAATATAATTAATCAAACATAAACTAAATAAATAATATTTCAAAGAAAATTTGAACTATCTTTACATAAAACAAAAATCATTCATGTAATGTTCGTTATAAATTCGAATGTTATAGGAATTGTTAATCTTTTCATTGCTAATCACAAAGATCAGCATTGAATCATAAATGTTTGTTTTATGGATTTCACAGTCGAAAAAACACTTCTCTTGACTCACTTTCGTAAATTTTCATATTCTAATGTTCATTGTATAACTTTGTACATCTGGCTACATTGTTCACATATTAATGTCAAAGAAATCTTGTTAAAAATTTTAAAAAAAAAAGAGTTTTGTTTAGGATTACGAGTGTCCACGTTGTCACGATAGTTTTATTGAAGAAGTTCCAGCACAAGAACCAACATCGTATGTTTATTATTTAGTCTAAATAAATTAAAAAAATCCGATTAAACTTTAGTCAATCTCGTAGTCAAAGACGTACAGGTGGAACCTTTCAAATTCATAGTGGAGCACCATTTAGTAATACAACAATTGTTTTTGGTGGTGGACCTTCAACAAATGATGCAAATAATCCAAATGGAAATGGTGATTTAGGAAATTTTCTTCAAAATATTTTAACACAACTTGCTGGTGGACTCACTGGTGGTGGTGGTGGAGGTGCACAGTTTCCTTTGTAATTAATTTAATATTATTTATTTCCAATGAATAAATTTTATTATTTATTTAGTATTATGCATAATGGTGGTGGTGGTGCAGCTTTTCTTGATCCAACAAATCTTGATGCTTTTCTTACTCAAGTAATCTTTAGTTTTATATAGAATGTTATTATTTAACTTTATAATTTTTCTAGTTTTTAAATCAAATGGGAGAAAATAGTGGTCCTGCACCAGCACCTGAAAATCGTATAAATGCTATTCCGACAGTAAAAGTGACTGCTGAACAAGCTCGTATGTTTATTTATTAAATTTTATATCAAATATGAATGAGTCATTTTGAAAAAACTTTCTATAATTGCTCTCATCTAAAGAATATAATTCAAATTATGTTCAGACTATAAAGTAATTTATACAATTAGAACTATTTTGCATTGCGCAAAGTCTCATATGATTTGAAACTTGAGTCATTATTTCGACAACAAATGACATGATATAATTGAACATAAGAAAAAAATTTAATTAAATATGCTAATTTATTGTCTGAAGATAATTTTAAAAAAATTCGAATGATATGATTTAATTGAGAAGACTTATAAAATATTTTTTCAAATGTCTTGTTTATATCTATTTGAATATTAAAATAAAACTAAGAATAAATAAATTATTTTAGATGATAATTTACAGTGTGCTATTTGCATGGATGATTTTAAAGAAAATGATGAAGCTAAACGTCTTCCTTGTACACATCATTTTCATGAAGAATGTATATTACGATGGCTTAGAATGGTATTTAGAAATGTTTTGTTTTTTCTAATAAACCTATGAAATTTGTTATTATTATAGCATGGAACATGTCCAACATGTCGTGTTACATTAGATGGTGATAATACAACAAATCGTGAATATGTTAATCTTCAACCAAATCAACAACAAACATCATCATCATCATCATCAAATAATAATCGTCGAAATAATGGAGATAATAATGGATCATCATCATCTTCTGCTGCTGCTATGGGAGGGTTTAATCCACTTGAATTCGATTAAAAAAAAAATATTTGTGTGATTATTTATGTACAAATCATTTTTTGTCCTTCTGATGATCTTTACATTTTTTTTCTGTTGGCTTTTCTTTTTGTCATCGTCTCGATTTTTTCTTCTGTCGGAAATAAATGAACATATTTCACACATCTACGACCGATTAGGATTTGATTTTTTCACTTTGAATTTCATGAAGAAGTTTTTACTTAAATCAGATTCATATTTCCTATTACATGTAAATCTATGTTCAGATGTTTTTTTTTTAAACTTATTAAATGTTAAAACAACATAAGTACTTTTCGTTTAATAAAGAAAAAAAAAACATTGTTTTGAAAACATATATTTTATGAATAATGTTACTTGTAACTGTATAGATTCCATTTTTTTTAACATACAAATAATTAGTAGAGAATATGACAAATATATTCTCAGTTGTATTTGATTATTGAAATTTTAATTTCACAAAAAATTAATATAAATTATAAGTAAAATCGAACTTGAATTCTATCTAGTTTCATAATCCTAGATAATAAGACTCAAGATTTCTTGAATGACTCTTCAGATTTTTATCTACTAATGACAACATCTTTTTAGTTATTTCAAAGTTTGATATTAAGTCCTCCACCTCGAAAAAGTCACTTTTCGTCAAAATCAACGAAATTAAGATAAACACAGGAGAATATAGCCTGTCGTCAGATTTCTCATAAACGACAAAACTTTTTACTCGACATGTCCTTTTTTCCAAATTTTTTTAAAGATTTTCTTCATTCCCTATTCGAAAAATAAGATGTTCTTAAAAGAAAAACCGAAAATCTTTTTCGATTTTTCTCATTTTATAGGTTCTCGATCGCATCTTCAAGATTTCTCGAAGAAGCTTCATTGTAGCCGACAAACCTTTATATAGTTACAATGCCATTTTTGAAGAGATTTTTTTGAGTCATTGAACTTTCGATTCATTTTTTTCTCTTTAAAACGTAAGAGTTTTAAAAAAGGGGCTCTCATAAGCACTACATTCTAACATGCTCTTTCAAATAATAAAAATATTAAATGTATAGACTGAAGACTATAATGAAATTTGGAAGACGAAATTAGCTTTTTTTTGACCCTTGTTTGGCCGGTATCTCCGTCAAACGTCATGATACAGGATTGAAAATTTTACCATAGCCATGGTTCATCAGTTCCAACATATTCTAAAATTTTCATGTCATTCGAACGTTCCTAGCCTGAGATCAAATTTGGAGGCGGGAGAAAGCCTTAAAAAACGAATTACAATAGAATCATATTTAACAAAAATGAATTAAAATATACTAGCAAGATATTCTAAACTTATAAACAGGTTAAATTATGTACTGAGACTGGATCTGTTTTTTTTTGATAGAAGTAAACAAACTGTCTGTTCTTGTTCATATTTAGATCATATGCATTGTTGCTCAATTCAACAATGATCAAATCAGTTTTATATTAATATTTTTTAGTATCTTTTTGATATTAAAAATGAAATAAATAAATAAAATAAAATGTTGTCCTAACATGGGAATATAAATATTCCTAAATATATTTATTGTTGATGGTTTTTCAATAAATAATTAATGGACAATAAAACAAAGCAAGAATCATATTAAGTAGTTGCTTCATTCAAAAAAAAAAAAACTTTTCTTCTTTTTATTTTTCTGTTCAGACGAGCACTTCTGGAAATTCAAAATGAACATCTTTTCCAGTGAGTTTTTTATAAATTGATTGAAAAGCTGGTACCTAACAAAAAATAATAATTTGTTTTTATTTAATTTAAATATTTTTTAATAAAAAAAAACAAACTTTATTTTCGACAAGTGTTTGTTGATTTTTATCAAGATGAATTTTAAAAAGACGTGATCCATCTAATTTAATTCGAATACGTTTTCCTGTTATTTCAGCTGGATAAACAAGATCATGTAAAATAGCATCATGTACTGCAGTTAATGTACGACTAAATACATAAAAATTTAATTATTTTTTTTTGTTTAAATAAATAAATCAACAACAAACGAACTTTCTTGGTCGTTTTTGTTTCGATTGTGTTTTCGATTTTCGTGTTGGTTTTGGTAAAATTCGACGCTACAAAAAAAAGCAAAACTCTTCTTTTTTATTGTGTTTTTCTTATAGTAGCAAAAAAAACAAAAATTTACTTGTCCCAAAAGAACAACAGTTTGATTATATTTTTTTTCAAGTTCAGAAACAAGTAACGAATGAATTCGTTGAAAATTTTTTACTTTCGGTACTGGAATATAAATTACTAAGGCTGATCGTCCATCACCTAATTCAACTTTCTAAATAACAAAAAGAAAAAAAAAATGCAAACAATTTTTGTTTTCGATAATTAAATATAATTTTCAAACCTTAGCTCCAGTTATATAAAGTTCACGTAATTGACCTTTAAATTGTGCATTTCCTTCGAGTTCAGTGAATTGCTAAAATATAGAGAGAATTGAATTATTAGAAATGATTATGAACTAAATTCAACCTGTGAAACATCGAGTTCAAGTGCTGTTGGTGGTTCACTACCACTTTTCATTATTTTTGTACCTGTGCTCATTGTTCACGATCAATCGGTTTTAATTATCTAAAAATCGACATTTTATTATTATTTCAAAGAATTTTATGATTGAATATTAAAAAAAAAAACAACTTTTGGATGGTCTAATGTCTTCCATATTTTACCATGATGGTTTTCAAGATTATTTCCATCTATTAGACTTTTCTTTTTGTTTTTTTTTTGAACGAAAAATTTTTTAATTTTAAATATTTTTTTCATTGATATAAAATATTCTTTACTTTAAAAAGAAATTCATTTTTTCATATGTGAAAAATTAACCAATGAAAATAATTTCAGCAATTTTGTTGACCTATCAGCAAAAAACAAAAAGGAAGCAGCTGGTTATAACTTTTAGATAACAAAATCTTTGTTTATTTTGATTTCAACTTAAACAAGTTTCATCATCTTTCTAAATCATCATACAGAACTCTTTTTTTTTCTTGTCATAAGAAATAGATTATTATAGTGAATGTGATTGATACGTCATTATTTATTATCGATCAATACTTTATATCAGACAATTCAAGAATGTTCAAAAATTTGCAATCGCACAATTTTTTGATTTTTGTGCAGATAATTATTTATATTTAAGATGTGAATAGTGAAGCATTAATTCATCTGCCATTAGTAGTCATTTATGTTCAGAACAAACAATTGTGAAATGATCAAATTATTACATTAGGAAATAATCAATGTCAATGTTTCTAAGTAACAATAGCATATTGAGATCTTTTCTAGTTATAATAGATAAGTGCTATAGGCTTATTTATCAATTAAATCAATGGCTAGAAATATAAACAATGTTCAATTAAGAAAAATCTTTTTTATGTGAAATGTACAAATAAATTTTTGAGAACAACTTTAATCTTTGAAAGATTGTTTATTTTACGTTATTTGTATTATTATAATAAAGCCTAAGAACATAATTCAGTTTCACATTTTAGCCCTAAAGGGTATCTATTGAAAGGCTTTCTTCTCTTAAATTGAATGTTAACAAACGTTAAACATGGGAATTTCCCTTTTTTTATTTCTGATGGCTAAAATTTACTTTTTATCACTTAATTCAGTATCAAATTAACGGTTATTTAATCATGAGGACGACACTCAACAAGAAAAACTATACTGAGTAGAAATATTTTATTAAAAATAAAAAATGTGACATGATCGAAATTCTACTAATGTTATTTTTATATTTGATATATCGTTTCAATGCATAATACTATTTCGAACAAGATAATCAATGATTCACCATCGAACAAAGCTACTATATCAAAAGCAACGATATATCCATCTCATAAAATGATGTCATAGATATACACCAAAAAAAAAACATAACAAGGATTTCATTAGAATGACGTCAATCGGGGTCAGATATAAAAAAAACGAACTATTAGTTCGAATATAAAATAAATTATGCTTAATTCTATAATCAAAGAAAAGATTTTCGAATTATCTTTACTTTAATTATATTTTCATTCGAATTTAGTTAATTTATACATCGAACACAAATAGAAGAATATTGAAATTAATATGAATATGTTCAAGATTTTCATATAAGCGCAATATTAATCTTATTTCTGATAGATGTCGCTATATTATTTAGAAGACATAAATTCTATCCTCTATATGACAAAGGAGAGAAAATGGCTTCGAATGATATCAGTCAAATGATTGGCTAAGACATCATCTCAACTCGTGATCGTTATCGTCATTTTGATCTTTTTCTCTTTCCTTTCATTGAGTTGTTTTTTTCTTTTTTAGTATCCATGTCAAAATCACGGTCGACAAGTGAGAAAATATAATTTTTTTTTTCCTTCCTTGTAAAATAATTGTATCAATAGAGAAAAAGAGAAAGAAAGAAAGAAAGAACAAAAAAAAACGCTTGTATAAAACGTAGGTGTCTTCTCATCATAGACGAGTTTATCCATGAAAGTGTAAGAGGTCGATAAAAAGAAAAGAAAAAAGAACCAGTTTTTTTTTTTTTTTTCTTTTTACCTATATTCTTTTATTTTGTTTCAGAATACACAGGCCGTTTGTTTTAATACCGTCATGTTGGTATAATTTTTCATCTCTTTCTATTCTTTAATAATATAAGTATCGACGAGCAACTGCTTTATATAGCAGACTCTTTTAATTATTTAACAATTAATACTATTAATCATTATGTCGACTTTTTTATTTAAAAAAAACCTAAACATATAATGAGTGTTTTAATCAATAGTGAATGATATTTATTGTTAATAACTCTAGTCGACACAAATAACAAAACTAGATAGTTATCAATTGGACAGCAAGATTAGTGCTGATCAAAAACAACAACAGGTTTGTTATATATTAATAGATTAGTTTTTATGTTTATTTATTATGTTTAGGTAATAATCAGTGGATATAAATCTTTTAAAATTTACAATGGTAGTTGTCGTATTGGGTCTTCGAACAACTGGACAAACATTAACTACATTAACAACATCATTAGAACGATTATGTTCGAAAGAAGATCGAACATGGAAAGAACGCAAATTCAATCAAACAAAATTGGTAAATAAACATCTTTTTTCGTTCTTATAAATGTATTAATAGTAATTGATCAATAAACACATGCGTCTTTTCTTTTCTTTTTTTGCCTTTCATACAGTTAATGGAGAGAATACTACTTTATATCTATAGAAGATGACGCCATAGACTTTGTTCTCTGTCGATAAGTATGGGAGATCTGACATAACCATTTTCAAAAAAAAAAGATAAGATATGTTTATGTAACCATAGACAAAAAAAAAGAAAATGTTATTCAAAAATTATTTTCTCTCACAAAAAATATAAATAATGAATTTTTTTGTAATCAATAATAATTTATTCTTTTATAAAGATAAAAACAGTAATTAATTGATATCCTTTATTTTTCAGGATGAAGTAAATAGTTCTCAACGTAATTATGCATCATCATGGCTTCGTAAAGTAGCAGGATCAATGCATTTTGGTACTGATACATATGCACTTAGTGTTGATTTACTTGATAGATTTTTAGCAACACTTAAAGTAAATTAATTTTTTCGTATAAAAAAAAAAAAAAAATATTTAAATAAATCTATTAAGGTTCGTCCAAAATTCTTAGAATGTTTAGCTGTTGGATGTTTATATATAGCAGCAAAATGCAAAGAAGAAGATGATCAAATAGCAATAACACCTGAATTTGTTATTGATTGTAATGCAAGTTGTTCATCAAATGAACTTCTTCGTATGGAACGTTTAATTTTGGAAAAATTTGATTGGTTTGTAGATTTTGTTACACCAGTAGATTTTTTACAAATTGTAAGAAAAAAAAATTTTAATTAAATTTTTGAAAAATTATTTTTATTTTCTAGTACTTTGCACTTTTATTGCTTAAACTTGATGGTCAACAAGAAGAAAATAATGAAAAACTTGTAGTTGAAAAATATATTGATTTAGAATTAAAATTAGCTTCATGTTTACAAGATCATCGTTTAGCTTCATTTAAACCTCGAATTCTTGCTTTGGCACTTATAAGTTTAGAATTTGAAAAACAACAAGTACAACAATTAGAAATGAATATTGATTGGCTTCCTTCAATAACTTATTTACAACAATTAGCTAAAGTAATATATATAATAAGAAGAAGAAGAAAAACTATATATTTATTTTCTAGGTTGAAAGTGATTCATTATTATCATGTCGAGATTTAATCGTTCGTTTATTACCATCATACAAGGTTGTTCGATTAGAATTATCCGATTTAAGATTTATTTCTCATGCATATAATCCCTTAAAACCATTGATTAACTTATCTGATCGACCAACCTATGCCGATGTTGTTTGTGGTCGCACTCTTCCTACTGTCCAATGAGTTTGTGTATTCTTTTTTTTCTTTTTTTTTTTTTTTTCTTGTTTTTGAAAAATTATATCAGAGCATTAAGAACAAACATTAAAAAAGAAAAAAAAAAATGAAATAAGTGAAAAAACAGAAAAAAAAATAACGTTTTTTTTTTTCGGCTTCATTTATTTTTTTGCTTTTGTCATTTGCTTACTTTATAAATAAGTTTGGTTGTCTGATATATATAAATCTATTCTCCATACGATTCAAAAGAAAATGTATTCCATCGAAAACAAAATTAATGGATTGAAAAAAAAAAAGGCTATCTATCTATTGGAGAATGGATTTAATTTATTTTGTCCTATATATATAAATATTTTTGTTTCATATCATCCCATGTATTAAAAAAAAACAAACTGCATATGTAAATAGAAAAAAAAGATCTCATTATAAACATTAACCTCTATCTTTTGTTCGATATACTTTTCATTTCTTTTTTTTTTTTTGTTGTTGTAATATTTATCTATACAGGCTTTTTTTTTTCGTATTCCTTCCTTTTTTTTTTTTTTTTCTCAAATACTATAACATTTTGTGTTGTATATAACTTATAGATAGAGACGAAGCAAAAAAAAAATGAAATATATGTATATAGAAAGATGAAAAGAAAAAAAATTAAAGTCCTTGATATTTTGTTTATGGGTTTGATTGATAAAAGGAAAATAATTTATAGAGAAAGTTTTCATTTGATCATTGATCAATGAAATAACAAGGTTATTTCGTGTTTTGTAAAGCCATAAAAGATATGAATGTGCATTAAGATAGATTTTATATTGAAGCAAAAAGAAAAATTGTTAGTCATTGATAATCAAGGATCAAATTAAAACGATTAATTAATTAAGTTAAATATAGATTTTTGAAACAATTTCATATTTTCTTTTTTATTATGTTGATAATTATTTATATTGATTTAATTTAATAAATAAATATGATTATTAATAAAAGAAAATTATCGTTTATTTATATATAAATAGAATAATAAAAATCGTTTAGATGAACGTTTTATATATGTTAAATATTTCTATATTAATATAAAATAATTAAAATTTGAATAATATTAGATACTGATAGTTCTAAAACGAATCAATGATGATAATAATAATAAATTGAATTTGTTAGTGATAGAATTATTGTTCATGTCTTGTAGAGAGCTGCGGGTCCGGGTCTGAAAATTTAGCTTTTCGCGGGCCCGGGTTCGGGTCCGGGTCTAAACCTAAGAGAAAAGTCAGACCCGGTCTGCATTAAGTTATGAATGGAAATATATAACAATAACAATTGAAGTCAACAAAATTGAAAAAGAAACAGTCAGAAATAATTTTACACTCATTTTACCTTTAGAGTCGCCAATAAAGAGCTAAAATTGTGTTCCCTTTTCTGTTCATGTACACATAGGGTGCCAAATATTGGTGAAAAAAGGATCGGGTTTAGATCCGGCTGGGTCCGGGTTTAGACTCAGCCGGGCTCGGGTCTGAAAATTTAGTTTTTCTGGGGCTCGGGTCCGGGTCCGGGTCCAAAAAACATGGACCCGCAGCTCTCTAATGTCTTGTCTTTATCGTAACGGACATGTTTATAATCATTTTCTTTTTTTTTTTAATAAACGTTTTTTTATGTAATTTATTTGTTATAGGTGGAGTTTCTATAATTGATGATCTATGTCAATATTGCCAATATCTATTAATTAATTGGGGAAAATTTCTTTTTTTTTTTTATATGAATAAGGAAATAAATTTTATTCTGATAAATAATAAACATTGAATTTATTGACAATTTTTATTTTTATTTAATTGAATAGCTGATTATAGTTGTTTTATTCGATAAATTTATTGTTAATAATCTTTGTTCAGATAAATCAATTATATTTATAAATAATGATTGTTGTTTATCACTCATTTAAATATAAGTTTTTAGAAAATAATCTTGAAAATATTCGTTTTATAAATAGTGTTCACCATCAATGATATGAAGATAATTCTAATATATGTGTTAGAGACATAGAGATTATTTGTAGATCATCATTCAAATAAATAAATGATAAAGATGAGGATGAATTAAACAATAAAAACGAATTAAATGTAAGTCTTTTCAACAAATTCATCATCCACTCGAGAAAGAACACCTAGATAAAGGACTGGTTACACAACTACGAAATTTAGAAGATTTGTTTATTTATTCCGAGTAATTATATATTTATTTATTTAATGTAGAAGTCAACTATAGAAAATGAAACGTTGCTGTCTTAGCTGATATTAGTTTATCATAGGAGTTATTTTTCATAACCATTCTCAAACCGAATTATTTTGACTAATTACACAAAAATAATCTTGTCAAGCCAAGATAAACTTAAGTGGCAGTGACTAGTTCTGGTCGCGTTCATCATTAATGTAATGAAGATGCCGACTTTATTAATTCAAATTGATAATGGCACATCTCAAACTTAATTTGATTGAATTGAAATTTTCTATAGTAGACACTGAGAAGCATTTCTCGACAGGTAACAAATCGACTGTTATTTCTTTTATATGTTTATCTTCGAACGTTCTAGGACTTGAAAATGTATCGTTTGACAAATGATAAAAGTGAATGAATTATGATAAAGATAATAATCTCTAAAGATAGAATCTAATATAAAACAAATTTATTTAAATAGGTATCATCCTTATTTCATCTATTCATTCTATTACTGATAAAATTATCAATATAATCAATTAAATGTATTTCCTAGAAAAGAATATAATATTGTTCTATAGGTATTAAATATTTCTATCTATCTATTTGTTGGATTATTCTAGATAATGATATTAATTGACTTGTTAATAAATGAGTTAATTATTTAAAATAATCATATTATTGGTTGTTGATAAAAAAATGTTATGTACGATTGATTGTTAAAAAAAAATCTATATTGATTTATTTGTCTACTAAGATGATTTATTTCAATTTTAAATTGTATAGATTAATGATAGATATTTAAAATAAAATTTTTTTTTTCAATATTATTTATTCTTGATAATAAATAAAATAATTTTTGTTGAGATAATTTATTATTTTATATTTATATTTGATAAATAGGTGGTTAACATTGATTTTAATTTATTTTCATATTTTTTATTATAATTATAATCATTTATATATATCGATAACTAACCAAAATATCGAACTAGAAAATCTATTTATGATAGAGATTTATTTTATTCTCAAATTAATCTTATAGGTATATTATCTGCTATAATAGTTAGTTGTAAATCATGTAAAAAGAAAAATGTTTGATTTAATATATGTCTTGAAAAAAATAAAGATTAACAATAAATATGTTGATCATATGATAAAAAAATCAAAATTTAATTATGGCAATTGATGAGATGATAGTATTTATATATTATTTAATATAATTTGTTATCAAAAATCTAAAATAAAATAATTTCTACGGTCATCTGATAAACGATCAGTTATTTAATATTTGTGTTAATATATAATCAATTGTTATTATTTCCTGTTGTTGTTAAAGATTTTGATCATCAATATGATTTAAATTATTTGTTAATATAGGATTTGTTGATTGTTCTATTGTTAATCTTGATTTTTATCTATCTATAAGGTTAGCAAATAAATTTCAATGTTTTTCTTTTAAATATTGATGTGTTGTCTTGTAGCTGATCTATTTTAATTTATCTTTTTGTAAATTTTGATGTTAAATTTGTTAATCATGGTGATGTTTAAATTAAATTATTATTTATTTTATTATCAATTGTTGTTGTTGATGTTTTATCATTTATTGTTAAGTTGATGATGATCAATTTAAATAAGGTTGACGGAAGAGTACATTCAATTAATGTTGAAAGATCAACATCAAATAAATCAGCATAAAATTGAAATCTTAAGAAAAAAAAAAGAACAATAATTCCAATTCTATGTTCGATATAGAGTCCATCGGGTTCGAGTCCAAAAAATTTTAACTGATCGTGTACGAGCGCAATAAATTTTAATCGATCGGATCTGAGTCAGAGTCCGTAAATCATTGCACTCAATGACCTTTAGTCGCATCGGCGGCGGAACACTTTGAGTCTATGGTAGGGTTAGCAATCTTTATAAGATTATCATCAGGAACGAGGGGGGGGGACGGCGAATGGTTTTATGGTATTGAAATGAAATATAGCTAGTGCTATTTATTTCTAACTGATCTGTTGAACTGTATTGAGGTGTTAGAGTTAAGAAAAAATTTTCAACGTTGTGTCAAAAGACGTTAACTTAAACAAACATGAGAACGTTTGTTTTTATCTAATTTTGATTCTTGAAAGAAGAGTTTTCGATGTAGTTTACGAAAAAGCAGAATAATGATGAAGCATTAGTGTTGACAAAAAAAAAAGGTTTCGGTAGATTTTAGTTAATCTAACTCGAGTGTTTGAGTAGCAGTTCTACTTAACTTGTTAGAAATGAGTACTATTTCAAGTAATTAACAACATAGGAGCTAACATTTAATTGTAGAGGATTGGATGCCTTCCTAAGTCTGTTTCAGTATAAAAACATAACTAATTGTTGCCAAGAGCAGTGAAAAAGTAAAAGGTTTGTGTAGGAGTTTCTATGCACAGCATATATCTGTCAAACTGATGTAATGAGAAAGAAATATTTGAGCCGTTTCCTAGTCTACCGAAGATCCATGGGTTTGCCACCTATAACATGTCGTATATTCGTTGGCGGTAGCATCGGTAGCTCGAATGAGAATCGGTTCTAGGTATAAACAATTGCATAGAGTCTTTTCTACTGATATTGAAGTAAATCGATAAAATAATTTGCGAATATATTTAACTAATAAAATGTTTTTGCATGGGTATCTCAACAAATGACTGATAAACAATCGTAGAAATTGTATTTTGTGTTTTTCTCAATGAGGTTTCATTGTAGAAATGTTCGTATATAGTCTAAAAACAATTCTCTTTTCAACATTCGATAAAAATGTTTTATCTAAACTTCTCATTTAAAAAAGTAATAAAAGACGAGAACCTCGTTTAATATGTTAAATTTGTTAACATAAATTGTTGTTTTAGTTTTATTCGTTGGAACTTTGTCGTCCGCAACAAAGTTCTATATTAAAACAATTGTTCAGATAAACGTTTGTTGTTGAGAAAAAATATTATTTTGTAAAATTTAGAAAAATGATAATAGAGTTTAAAGGAAAATCTTTTTAGACTAGCGAGAAATATTTATAAGAGTTTGATGTTAGTTAGAAAAGTTCTCTCATTAGATTTTTCAGGGTTCGTTAATGTTAGTAAAGAAATAAATTTCGTTATTTATTAATAATTGTTTTTGTATAGTATTAGTGTTTTTGAATAATATCTCCTAATTATAATAATTAGTGTAAAATTTTTATACCCATATTGATATTGATTAGTCGATTGTTCAATAATAATAAAAAAAGCATTGTTAAAGGTGGTGATGATTTAAATCAAAGTAAAAATATATCATATTGATTTGAAATAAATATTTCAATATGATTATCATTTATAATAATGATTAATATTAATTTATTAATTTGATTTATTATTCTATAAATAATTTCAATTAATAAATTAAATGAAAATAAAATTTGTTTTTTGTTTTCATTATTTGTTGTTAATATAGTTATTGTTAAACAATTTATTGTTGAATAATAATATAAATATAATAAAGGTAGTTGATCTTTTGTTGAAGATAATATTATTGATAGGATTTCAATAGGAAATAAATATTATTCTATTGTTGTTTGATTTGATAATTATGTATTGATGATTTAAAATAATAAATTAATCAATATGGATAAACAAGTGTATAATTATTGGAAGAAATTTATTTTAGAATTAAATTGATTAAATTCAATTAATTGATCAAGATCATTTTCTTCATTTGAATAACGATGTAAAGTAATAAATAAATTTTATGTTATATAAACGTTTACAAATCAAATATATCTATTTAAGGTATTATTTTTTTATGTATTTGAGGTTGTTGTAAAGGGCATGTATGACGAACAATATTTTAAAATGATCTAATATGATAGAAGTGAACGAAGAGTTTATATTGAATAAGAATTCAAATATTGATCATCAATGGAAGATTTTAATTGAGTAGGATTTATAGAAGATGTGATTGGTCTTTTATCATATTGCATATCAGTAAAATAACGAAGGAAATAGATGACCAATATTAAACTAAAGAAAAACAGAAAAAGCAAGAGTTAAGATTTTTTTATTTTATTTTATTATTGATGGTTATTCGAGAATATAACGTTAACTTATTTAAGAATTTTCTCCTGTAGTATTATATGTATATTTACTGTGTTCGTATTATTCTTCTTATTGAATCTATAGATTTTCTTATCATAAATCATGAATAAATCTAACGATGAAAGTCTTCCAATTGATTAATCACTCTTGAGTCCCGAACTCGGACTAGATCGGATTTTGGTTCGAAAATTTTCGAGCAAGGAACTCTATTCGAGACAATGTGCATGGTGTAAATCATAGTAAGTGTTAGAATATTGTGGAAACGAGTAGAGATTCTCAGCTTATTGATGCATAGATTCTAGAAATATTACAGTAGTTTTTATATAGATACTCTAGTTGCCCTCGTAAACATCAGCTTCCTCGAAAATATCGAACCTTTTCCTAGAGTTCTCAATACTTACTGACAATTTTTTTAGAATTTTATGGGAACTTTAGAGAGAAACAAGATCTTGAGAGAGCATTTGCCTTTCTCTCGAAGAAACATGGAACAAAAATAAGCAGACAATGTCATTACAAAGTAAACAGGATTGAGACAGGTTCCGAGAAAGGGACGGTTTTATAACAGATTGTCTGTTGTGAGTGGAGCTGGGTCATCATGGGTTTGGTTCTTGCTTCCAACGTCACCGGTTCTAGTACTTCAAGCATAAAAATACTTTCCGAGAAAAGTTTCAGACTTTCTAGAGAATTCTTATCCGACATTCTACCCATAAATGATACAAACAACCTTGAAAGAGGCGTTAACAAGACTAGTGTTTGGTTGTTAAAATTTAAGTTTATTTTAATTTGATTCTATCCTGAAAATCGAATATCGAATTAATAGTTATAGATGAGTGATATAAAAGAGATACGTTTTACCATAGGTATATATTGAGAGAGGAAGAACAACAAAGCAAAAGCATTGATAATAACCTATTCACGTTGATAACTGTCGCTGTGGAAACGTTTTAAGTCGAAATTCTAAAATGAACGTTTCCTGAATAAGATCAGGTCAATAATTTAAAAACTAGTGTAAAAGTAAGATATGACCTTGATGAAAAATAAACAACCGAAATTGTATTGAGGATATTCATTCCTCATTTGCTTCTATATAATCCATACAGTCTCAACTGAAAAGCGAATTAGAGTTGAAGGATTGTCCTATGAAGTAGAACAGAATGAAGCAATAATCTCGATAAATCTCAAAAGTGGATATTTCTATGAAAGATTATGATCACCAATTGTAGAATTGAATATATCCTGATAAAACGAAAGATTCAGTTATAAGATTTTCAAAACGAAATTTTTTCTCTCAAAATAAAAATTTCATTTGTATCGAAGTAAAATAAGTTGCCATTGGCGCGTTGGTTTAAATGAAAAATATTTTTGAAGAGAATATAGTTATTGACTGGTATTTTATTTTATCGTTTTCCTAAGAGTATCTATAATTCTTCCACCAAAGAAAATTGTCTCATTGAGATCTCTAAACTTGATTTACAACAACAATCGCTACTAAATAACGTTTTTTCATATAAATAAAAGCAACAGATTCGAATTAAATTATTCCATAAATAAATTTATAGAAACCTTTTTAAGATGATCATCATTGATTCAGACATAAATTCTATCTCTACCTCTAACATGAAGACATTTTTCAACATTTCGAATTAATTCTCTATCTGCTAGATTATTATCTAGCGATGTTCTATGATAAATATGATAAAGTATTAAATGTCCAGATTTAAAACAAATTAAAAAAAAAACATATTCGTATTTAATATTGTTATTTTAAGATTGTTCTTTATATTGATATTGATCATTAAGATAATTATTATAATAAAATTGAATTTCTAAATTTTCATCCGTTATCAGTTATTATTGATTGTTGATAATTATTTATTAAATGATAATATAATATA